AAGGTGAAATTAATAAATAAATGTAATACAATAATTTACAAATGGTTTCATTGCTAACACTTTTAAACATTTCGAGAAAAAAATATATTTCAGTTTTGCTCCATACATTTTTTTCTTAAATATTTTTTTTTCGCGAAACTATACGATTACATGAATACTGCTAGAACAAAAGTTGATGAGTGTTCACTTATCTGTCCGCATGAATTTTTTCAGAGCGAAATATTTACCTTATATTCAAAATCCGGACCACTGTGCGACTTCGAGAGCAATCTCTTTATAATACGGATACGGAACCCTAAAAAGTTACGAAATCTTGTCTTACCGATTCACAAATGCAAGAAATACGAAATTCCACACTTGAAGGTAAATTTCCCGTAAAAAAAATGGCTCCGCGGTTGAATTTTTTGTTTAGAACTTTCATAACATTAAATAAAATATTATTTTAAAAATTATCACCATTCATCTTTACTTACGCACGGTAGGTGATTCCTTGTGACTTTTAAAGTTTACTCGTGTAGATTTTACGTAATAAAACCACAAAAAACGGCAAATTTTAAAAATTTCGTCGGAGCAATTGAACGTGTGGCTGGCGCTGTCACGCGGAGTCAAATGGCAGCGGGTTGTCACTGTTGTCAGACCTGGTGCATTTGTGCGAGCAGGAAGTGTACAACAAACGAAATTGTAGGACCTTGCATGCTTAACATCATTTTAGTTTGATACCTATAAAGTTCGTCGTTTTTTCAGGTTCGTGTAGTACACATACCCCCTTATTAATAAAAGAAGAATAAGCTTAGACTAGTTACGCCGTATTTTGTTCATATCATCATATCCCTCAAATGCTGTTTGTCATTTAATAAACAGAGACAAAACATGGAGTAACTTATCTAAGCTTATTCTTTGTTTATACGGTTATACCGTAACCGTGCACCGCAGCTTATTCTTCGTTTATTAATATGGGGGATAGTGTTTAGCTGTTAAACACGGACCTAAAAAAAAGACGGACGTAACCTCGTCTAATCACGAGTGAAGCATGCAAATGGCCGCCCGTTTACCCTGTGTGCGTGATTTGAGGGTGGTCATATAAGTCATCGATTTCCCTATTTATTAAATGTCTCAAACTAAAACATTGTTAACACTATGTAGGTAATCCCGTTATTGTAATATGTATTTATTACAATAACGGGATATTTACCAAGTTTTTATTAGATGTGAGCTCCCGATATTTCAGCAATTTAAACGGGTGCACTTTAGAAACATAATGTTGGCCTATCAAACATCATTTTTATGACGACCGTTAGAAAAATGAAAACACTTGCTAGGTATAAAGTAATTTATTATTTACATAAAAATTAAGTATCTGGTTAATATTACACATTAATATACCTAAATCGCGCAGATTAATGCTTAAAATAAAAATATAATACACTAATATTATTATTTCTTCTTTTAAATGTAAGTGTTTTATTCATAGATTTAGTAGGTATTTAAAGACTGACAGAGTGAGGAAAAGAGATATGTCGACATGGGGACAGGAACTTCAGAAAACTGTCAAACCCTTGCTTCTGAAGCATTCGTGTTCTTAATACACGGTATCAATTAGCATTTTAAATTACCTCTGGGATATTTACTGGTAAGTGCAGAGCAGAAATTTAATTAAAGGAGATTGCTCAGCTTCCATACATGTTTGGCCTGAACACCAATAATCATGAAAAATTGTTTCCTAGATTCGAAATTATATATAAATTACTGTAGAAACGAATATTATTGACGGACACCCCTGAGAACTTCTATAAACCATATACACTGAACATATTAAAATAATAAAAAACAAATAAGTTATATAGTAAACTAGTGAAATCAAGCCAAGTACCGAAATTATGGATTAGATTCAGGTATATGCATGTACATTAACAGATAGTTGCCTGTTTTTAAAGCTAATGCATAAGAGTAACTTTTAAAATCAGGTGTCATTTCCGGTTATAATAAAGTACTCTGTGACAGAAACTGTGTGATGAATGTGAATGAGCCACAGATTAGAGAGAATTTTTAAACTCTCGTTAACCAAAGAAAGCTAAGAGATTTAGGTTCTATAGCCATATATTCAGTAGCTTCATTATTTTTGTTATGTTTTTAAGATAACCATATTTTAGATTTTTAGTGTATATTACACCTTATAATTTTATTTATTTATTAATTTATAGTCAGGGACCGTAGGCCCATAGATAGATACCTTAAAGTCTAACATATATACAGAATATAATGTGTTTATGGAGGTGTTTGGCGAAAAATGTATGGCAATAGACTTTATGATGTCGCCTACCATCTATAATAATTGTCTGAGCACATTTGTATCTAGTGAAAATGATAATATAGTTGTGGATATTAATACCACAGTGTAATAAAAAAAATATTATTTTATTTTATTTATTATTTTATCGATCTTTACAAAATAGATTTGTTTTTATGTTATATAAATAACTTCGATCAGTCTTTGGCTGAATGTTACTACACCCATAGCCATTAAAAATGATTCGTATGTTTTCCAAACCGGTAAAATTAAAAATACTTTTAAAGTAAATATATTATACAAAGGTGTCCGTTGAAATCTAATGACTGTAAATTAAATTATAAATTACGCCAAAAATTACCGTGTATGTCAATATTTTTTGTGCATTTAGGCCAATTTGAGCAATCTCCTTTATTTATGTCTTTTATAATGTTATGATGCAGGCTTAAAGTCGCATGCTTAACATTCGATATACAAAAACAGAACACAGTAATACAGGCCAAATAGGTCCCTGCCTCAGCTTAATACTACAGCAACACCAGGGCTGCTGCAGCGCTGATAATTCTGGCAGGGTTGACGAGACATTTTTAATTTAATAATAAAACAGAAGATTAGAACCATACCAATCAGCATGACAAAAAAAATATAACAACATAGACTGAATGCTTTTAGTATCTTAAGCCTTAAAACAAGAGAAATGAATTTATTAAAAAATTAAATAAAAATGAAGTAAGATTTATCTATGACAAACTAGAACTTACAAAAACCAAAACTAAAACCAAACAATAAGAAAACACAAAGAAATAATTAGTTACAATCAGTTTCTTAGCACAAAAAAAGTTTGCTACATATTTACATATACATAAACAACAAAGAATTCACAGCGAGAACATACCATTTTATAAAACATATAAAATATTCTATGAATAATATGGCTTCTATTCTTTTCCTATTGGGATAAGGAACCCTAAAAAGTTACGAAATCTGACCTTACCGAGTCACAAATGCAAGAAATACAAAATTGCCTACTTTTAGGGAAAAATCCCCGTAAATAAAGTAGCAATACAGTTGTATTTTTGTTTACAATTTTCATCCCAGTAAATAAAATATAATATGGAATAAATATCATGAATTGTCAATACTTACGCATGGTAGGTAATTCCTTGTGACTTTTTAAATTTATTCGTGTAGTTTTTTACAGGATTTCACCACACAAGATGGCATTTTAAATTATTTTTATCAGAGCAATTGAATGTGTGACTGCCGCTGTCACGTCACGCGGGGTCAAATAGGGATGAAACGATACGAGTAAATACAAGTAACTACTCGATACTTTTCTTTCGATACCAAGTACTTTTGGCATCGATAATTTAGAACTGAGTAACAAGTAGTATCGTGAAGTAAGTACTTGTATCGGTACTCGGTCGCTCACTTACTGAGAAGTATCAAAAAACTCTTAGGTAGGCATATTAATAACTCTTTGGTAAGGTGTCTATTTGGAATTTTTGTTTCGCGAACGCATCTTTTCTTCTCAGTTGGAGGCCTTGTGTATGATTTATATTTATTCTAATTTTTCAGACAGTCATACGTTCATCCCGTAGCGTTAGCCGTTATTTTGTTTTCGTTAAATTAAAACTGTGACTGAATTTGTAATTGTAATATCGTTCCTCAAAATTTATCGATAAAAGTAAGTATCGATACTTTTCATTCGATACCGAGTAGGCATCGATACTTTATGATCGATACAGTATCGAGTAAAAGTATCGATACCTAGATGGTATCGTTTCATCCCTAGGGTCAAATGGCAGCGTTTTGTCCGACCTGGTAGTAGTGAGTGTAGTAGTGTACAACAAACGGTTTTGTCTGACCTTGCATGCTTCACATGATTTGCCTTTGATGTTACGTCCGTCTTTTTTTTAGGTCCGTGCTGTTAAATTGATTTTTTTTAACCAGTGTACGTTTTGGTTTAGCGCTGTAAGTATACTATGTAGTAAATAATTAAATAAATTCTTTGAAAACTATATTTTATTTCAACTTGATTTATGAAGGAAAGTATTTTGTTTTATTGAAAAATACCAACATACCAATATAAATTTTGAAGTACAACCTGACTAAAATGAAATAATCTTGTTTCTTAGGGTACGGCCAGAGTGCACTCCTGATTCAGATTCAGACTCGGAAAACAAAGCGCGAGAAAAAGCAGGCAACCTGCTTAGACTACACTGTTTGGGTGCGGCCAGAGTGCACTCAGATTCAGATTCAGATTTCGAAAACAAGCGCGAGAAATAAACAGTGTAGTCTAAGCAGGTTGCCTGCTTTTTCTCGCGCTTTGTTTTCTGAGTCTGAATCTGAGTCTGAATCAGGAGTGCACTCTGGCCGTACCCTTCGACTACACTGTTTATTTCTCGCGCTTGTTTTCGAAATCTGAATCTGAATCTGAGTGCACTCTGGCCGCACCCTTTATTTATCGCGCTTGTTTCCGAAATCTGAATCTGATTCTGAATCTGAGTGCACTCTGGCCGCACCCTTAGATTCTTAATAGAGATAAGCGACTCAGTGCAGACTTTAAAACTTTTGTTTTAGCAGGATTGTATTTTTTATCTGATAGTTGTTACAAAAGTATACCCAATTTTTTTAGAAGTGACGATGGCCTGGCCCATGGAAATGGAACGTAGGTTTTGAACGCAGCGTGTATCTATGCTAATCTAATCTGTCTGTTTGTAATAAATGTCGTCATATTGTTGTGAAAAGTCTTTAAAAAATATTTTTTTTATTTCTATCATAGGAAGCATGAAATGTCGTTGGAGAGATGGTTAGTTTAACAAAGAAAGTAAATATATGGTTATTAATATCAAATTACTTCATAACAACCTCTTGACAAGGGAAAAATATGCCTTGAAATATGAACGGATTCCATGATTTATCAGAGGCTAAAATTGCAGAACGCAATGAACGTGCCAAGAAACTTTATCGGTAAGATTGTTGTTATATAAATCTTAGTACGTTTATGTCCTCTAAATAGTTTGGTACTCCTAAGAAATCAAGGACCAGTTTTTTATTATAGCGTTTAATAATGTAAAAAACACATGTCGTAAATTGCCTATACACATCATGATTGAGGAAATACTCTTTCAATAAAGAAGTAAGAAGCTCACGCCCTTACTCATAGCAACATAGAAAATTTTGTTGAAGTATTGTTTATGAAAATAAGCTTGGTAAAGTAGCTACTAGTCGTAATTGGAATGAGGTTGAACTAGGGTTACCAGGACCGAAATGCGGAGATCGGTCGCAAGAGGTTAAAAATATTGATACAAGGACAAAAAGTCCAGTTTTTGAGATAAAAGACGCTTCTGAATAAAATGTTTTAAAGAAGTTTTATTCTAGGGCTAGGTTATCTCTAAGCTAATATCAAAATGTGAGTGTGTCTGTTACCTCTTCATGCTAAAACAGCTGAGGCAATTAAGATGAAATTTTGTATGGAGATAGGAGTCCCAGGGAAGTATATAGAACTGTTTTTATCCAATAAATAATAATAAAGTTTTTAAATAAACTAAAATCTTCTACTCTAATAACTTTATATTACCTCATACCATCCACAGTTGCAAAACCTAGGCCTTAACACAAACACATTTAAAACAAATGGATAGAAAGTTATCAGCATTACATGGCAAGAAGTATCCTTAACATCAAAAGAAACAATAAGATTAGAGTTAATTAGGCGTAGTAGAAAATGTAGATAGTGAAATTATTAAAATGAAAATAGTCTTAGGACATAGTGAGAGTCTAAAAAAATAAATGAGCAAAGTACATCATAGTATGGATGGTATCCAAAAGATAGTAAAATTTAAAGAGAAAGACAAATTACAAGAAAGGAAGATAATATAAAAATAGTAGGAGTGAGTTGGACAGGGTAAACAAAATGTAGGTCAATAAAATTAAGAAGAGCTTAGAGGAGATATAAAGTCTCTTTAGAGGAGAAGTAAATTCTCATTAGAAAGAAAGTCAAAAACTCAGAAACTTAAAAATTATATAAATAAAAATAGTGAGAACAATTATAAACAGTAAACATATGGGGGTGTACCCCATACAAAAATATAGACTTTATACTGTTTACAAAATATCCCATAAACATAAATGGTTCTAATTTGTAAATAACATACCTTGAGTAATTATTATCTGTTTAAAGTACATAGATCTTTAAGTTACTAATATATGAATTAATTTATGACAGCTAAAACAGTTAAGGTTTCATTATTTAGTTATCATGGAGAAACTTCAAATAAAATAAAGATTTTTTTCTGGAAATTTAAACTAAATTGTTTTCAGAATTAACTAGATGATTTTCTCAGGTAACTCAAAATTCACTGTGTGTATATATATTTTATGAGTTCATAAAGTGATTTGAATTAGTGTGAATGTGTATGAATATAGTAAATGTAAAGTTATTGTATGTACACATTCACAATGGATATACTTGCAATTTCAATCTTTTTATGTTCTAGACCTTTCCATAAGTCTAGGATAATATTGGTCCCATTACTGATCCTTGGGGTACCTGCTTTAATGTTATAGGCTGTTTAGTTCAGTTCAGCCTGTTAATAAGGTGGGATTTAACAAAAGAAGGACTAGTTTGCTGTTTTTTAGTAAGACACATAATTTTATAAATATTAAAGACTAGTCACCCTGGCTTTGCACAGGTGAACTTTATTTTCATGCGATAATATATCCTATTTTATATGATGATGACTCAGGTAGCTTTCTAATGGTGAAATAATTTTAGAAATTGGCCCAGTAGTTTTTTGTTACAATTATAAGCATACAAAAATGCAAATCTTTTCTCTTTGTATTAATAGTATATATGAGAGGCTAATTAAATAATTTGCTTACAGTTATGTGACTGATGTGGCAAGACGTATTGGTGAATCAACAACAAAATGTAGCAGTATTACTGATCTTTTCTGCATACATCTGGAACTACAAAGACAAAAACTTAGGGACAGTTGTGAGAAATTGTTGTTTTTAGATCCTATAAATTCTGGAAAAAAGGCACTTGAACTTCTTTGGAGAAAAGTGTATTATGAACCAGTTGGTTTTTACAAAAAGCTTAGAGAATCAGATACAGAAAATGACTCCCTAGATCTTTATTCTCATATTATCAGTGGCATTGGACATTTCCAGTATCTCTTGGCAAGAATACAAGTAGAGATGAATGTTAAATACAATGAGTTGGACTATACCATATTAAAGGAAGATGAAGAAACTGAAGAAGTTGAACATTCGATTAACAGTGAAGAGTTACAAATTTCGCGATCAGTAACACATCTGTGTTTAATTTACTTAGGGGATTTATGTCGCTATCAAGTAGAAATTTTTCAGTTCAATGACCAATCAATCTCTGCTCGTTATTATCTGCAAGCAGCACAAATGGAATTATCCTCAGGAATGCCATACAATCAATTAGGAAACTTGTACTTAGATAAAAATTACAATTTGGATTCTGTATGCTATTATATCCATTGCTTAAGTTGTGAGTCACCATTTAGTGGTGCAATGGGAAATTTAACCAAAATATTTGAAAAAAATAATCAGTGTTATGAAATGTTTCAAAATGTTGATAATTCTTCACAGACAGAACATATTCAGAATATTGTTGCAAACTTTTTGTCTTTGATTGAAATATGGTATTTTTCAAAAAATGACACAAATATTTCCCAGAGGTGCAGTGTTATTGTACATCAACTTAAGGTCGCAATGGATTTTCCGAAACCTCCCTTACCTGACTTAAACAAAAACTATACTGAAAGTATGCAAGTTATCGAAGAAGAAAATGTAAGTCCAACATACTTAAATGCTAATCTTGTTAATAAGATTGTTCTGATTTGTTTGTTCACTATGGCAAAAATGACAGAGTCTGATGAAACAAAAGCATTTGCATGTAAAGCTTTTACCCTAGCATTATTATCGCAACTATTACAGAAGTTTCTCAAAGAACTGGAAGCAATGGGATTAAGGAACCCTGCCACAAAATATAAACCAAAAGTTGCTCCAGCAATAGATGCAAATGTTGATGTAGAAAAGTTAGAGTTTTCAGAAGAACATGCTCCTGCACTTGAAACTGAAAATAAGAATGAAGGAACAACTACCGCAGATAATACACAAGTCAAACAAGTAAAAGCTGATGAAGATATCGATAAAATTCAAAATGGCGATAATAAGAATTCAAAAAAGATATCTAAAAGAAGACGTAGGCGGAGAATCGTCTCATCTGGAAGTTCTGATTTGAGTAATGTTGAAAGTGGCAGCAGTGAAGCAGATACAGATGATTCTAGTTCAGTGGAAGACAATGTATCAGAGTCCACTTATCAATCTGAAGATTCTAATAGTGAAGTTTCGGACCTAGATGGTTCAGACGTTGAAGAAATAATTGAGAAACAAAATGGTGACATTGCTAAATCAGAAGAAGAATGTGTTAATAAATACAAGAAAACTAATGGTGCCTCCTTGACAGAAAACGTTGTGAATGATAACAAGGCTAAAAATCCTAACCTTGATGAAAATGAAATACAAAACTTTTTGCTTGGAAATAATTTATTATGCAGTATAAAATTACTTCAAGATTGGATCCTCACTGAAAAAGAGCTTATTTTATCTTGTGGAGACAGTGGGGAAGCTTTGTTTCAGTCTGTAGTGGATCTTTTGAATATTCTTACCCATTATTTCAATACCAAATCAAAAGAATCAAGTGAAATTAAGGAATGCAAAATACTAGATTACTCCAAGCATATTGTCAGAAATCTTAAACTAGAATATAAATCAATTCCATTGCCTGAGGATGTGAATTTACGCGGAACAAATATTTGCAAGTTTGATAAAAATGCTACTGAGTGGCAAATATTAGATAGATTCAAGCCATCTGTTTATGAAGAAAACATACTAAGAATCTTAAACTTCATTGAATTTGGAAACCAAATTGCTAAAATTGTTCCAAGAATCCGTTTTAACCGATCAATGAAAATATTTTATGTTAAGAAAACACAATCCCCAAAAATTAATACGAAAGTGGTTCATAAAAGAAATAGAGAATGGCACAATAGTAAGAAACAACACGTAAGTACATCTTAATTTATTTGCTTACTAAATTTAAGAAACTGACACGCAGCATCACCTTTTGTTTTTTTTTGTCAGTTATCTTTCCATATTCCGAACTTTCTCACCATTTTAAAAAATAAGGAGAGCTTCATCGGTTCTATGGACGACCATTATAGGAACGTAAACATTGAATTCTATGTAGATGACATGTTAGTCTCATATGTTTTTGTTTAATTATTCGAAACAACGGCTTATTTGCATAACACAATCAAACAAACCTTACAAACTAATTACAGTTTCACTACCTGAGCACATTACAAAATATTTATTTAATTTAGGGGTAACATTATCATTACTTACTTGATTTTTTTTTATATTTTCTAAAGAACTTTGGATTGGCTGCACAGAAAAAGAACAAGGTAATTTAAAAATCTCATTCCTTAAAAATAGTAGGAAATAATAATAAATTGTTATCACTGTGTTCACAAGGTTCACTGCTCATTCCCCGTAGGTGATGGAGTGATAATATTTAGCCTATATGTTGCCCGACTTCTTAATAATATTCGTGCCAAATTTGAATTAAATACATGCAGTACTTTATGAGTTTATTCCGAACATACAAACAGATAAACGGACAAAAATTCTAAAAACATTTTTGGCTACGGTATCGGAAGTAGATCACACCCCAAGTATTCTTTTAAAAAAAATTTCAATGTACAGTTTTGACTTTCCCACCATTTTATTATATATTAGGAAGAAAGCGAGGGTGGACTGCTGCGTCGCTTAGGCAAGCTATGGCTGACGTCGCAAGTGCGAGAGTTGGAACGAAGCGGCCGCGCAGCTGTGCCCGCGCTGCTTGCCATCGACACCGCAGCACTTAACCAGCACTTGCGCCGCGTCAAACAGCTTCTGCGCGCCAGGAATTTCATTCTCCTAGTACCAACTGTCGGTAAGCAACGCTCGGTGTATTGCCATTGAGAACGGAAACCCTACGAAAGCGGGGATGAAGTTTATAAATGCTCACAACTAGCTTTTCGTGAAACAGTGATGTTAGTGAAGATGAGTCCATAATTATGTACAAGAATTCTTTACATATTTCTGTACTGTACTTATTACTAATTGAGTATGATGAAGGGTGTGGCCGCGGCATTAAAGTAGAATGTTATTATTTCTATGTCAGCTTTCTTTACGTCAGAAATAGCATTTTAAATGTCATACCTACATGTAATTGATCAATTAAAATGCTTGTTTCAGTGCTTCAAGAGCTTGATGAATTGAAACGGGAACAAAGCACTGCTCGTGACGCTATCCGTTGGCTCGAGACGCAGCTGAGAAGCGGTTCACGATTTCTAAGGGCTCAACGACCCGGCCAGTCACGGCCGCTGCCTCTTCTCAAATACCCCCGGAAAGCCCCGACCTACGTCCACAATTTCATACAAATACTAGAATTTTGTAACCATTTCATCGGTGAAGAAAGACAATCCCAAGGAGGCAATGGAGATTCTGAAAATGCACCGGGAAAGTCGGCTCCTCTGCTTATATTGCTAGTGGGCAATGAGCTTGGCAGTACCGAAGAGCAATACAAAGAGTTTAGCCTGACAGGAGCGGCTGAGACAGCTGGCATCTCGATTCAATACATTGGAGATTTCTATACAAAATGGCGACACGCTGTCCATAAGAACGGAAAGAAGAGATGAAGATAAAAATTCGGGGATCATCTTAGGAGATTTGACAGCACCGAATAGAAAGAACGGACGCTCTTTTGCTTTCGGAAACGAATCATCTCATTCAGATGTAGGATAGTGATTGGAGTTTTGTGTGTTTGCTATAATTTGATGAATGTATCAAATACACAATAAGAAACGATATCCTTCAAGGGTAAGGTTACATCCAACTGAATGTATGGTTCTCAACTATTTGAAGCTCTGTAATCTTGTCTTGATTACATTGCTAGTTAATCTTAATGAGACATTGTTATCTTATGTTTTATTCATTATTATCAATTACTCTACCATTATCATCACATCTTAAGGTGTAATGTTTCTAATTATTTCACTTTTAACCATTCATTCATTTATTCATCTTCATCATCATCCTTGTCTGGGAACTTTATTACTGGGATAAGTTTATCATGCGAGGTGCTTTTTTGCCTTTATAAAGTTTAATTTTTGTTCTTGAAATAAATGGTATTCACACTACTGTCTTTTTCATTTATAGTTATTAACCTATTTTAAAAAATAAGAATTTAGGAGTGTAACTTTTAATCCTCCGACGAGCTTTTTCATTTCATACGTTTGAAAGAGGTTAGATCATGTCACATGATTTGGCTGTGAAAGGGATCAGAAGAGATTTAAAGTTAGAAAATAAGAATAGCTATATTTCGGTCTTTTAATGAATTCAACGTCACACATGCCAGGTTTTAATATTTTAGCTAATATTAAAGTAAACGGGGTACCTACCAAGAAAAAAACGTTTTGGGCTGGGTTCCAATATCGATAAGCAACATTTTGTGTGATACATAAGTACGAGCATTTGTATCTGTCTGCTTATGTTTTATATTATTATTATAGATAATGCAGACAAGCAGTTGAGACAAATAATAATTGCTTGTATTCTGTGTTGGAGAAACCAACAAATTGGAGACAGAAGAGCAGTGTGGGCAGAAGTCGTGCTGCTGACGACCAATAACTTAATGCTAAGCCAAAAAATCTCAGATGTGTTTTACTATGATCTTTTCAAAGCTCAGTATGCATACTAAGCTAAGCTTGTTTAACTTATGGGTCTATAGTAAAATACCTCCAACTTGTAGCCGTTGTTATAAACTGGTGTAACTACAGCTGTCTTCCATTGCTCTGGAAGAGAACCATTATTATATTATGGTTGCCAGGGACTGCGTCAGGTCATCTCTATGCAGCATCAGCGTACAGACTGGAATATTGTCTGGTCCAGGTGATAATCTAATTTCACTCCTATTATAAGTTCTACGAAAAATATACGCATAGCGTGTATTTTTATCCGTTAAGTAATCTAGACACTATACATCTCAGCCTATTATGGGTATGCTATGCACACTATGTGTTGTATCGGGGTGCATCCAGGAACCAATTTTCAAGTCTAGCACACCGACACCAAGTGCCTACATATTTTTCTGTCTGTCATTCAACCGACTTCAAAGAGGAGGAGGTTCTCAATTCGCCTATATGGCCTTTTTAGTTTGTAACGCGATTTCTGCTTCAATTTTAAGCTGTTTTTGAAGTGAAACTTCTTTAGGCACGCTTGACTTGTGGGGTAAACTGGCGAATGTGTTACGATTTCGCGTTACGATTAGTGTCACCGGTGACTCATCGGTAAACAATGAAAAATACCCGTCACAAAATACATGAATCTAGTGCTTGCTGGGTGATAACAGACCCAGCGCGGATTGGTGGATGATAACAGACCCAGCGCGGATTGGTGGTTTTTTTTTCTATCAACAAATCTTCAGGTTAAGTTTATGATTTTCAGGTCATTGGAGCTAAAGAAGTTTCACTTCAGCCGTGTGGTCATAAGTACATTCGCTTTTTTATATTATTTTAGTAATTGCAAGGATATACTCCCGAGGTCATTCCATAGAATGTGTGTGTGATGATCTGATCAAGGACTTCGAAGGTGCGAAACGGAACTCTTCGTAGGATCATCAGAAGAGTTGTAATATATATTTACGATCAAAGTTCAGTAACTCCTTGATATGGCTGTTCACGCCCCGGCCTATGACCCTCTTATCCCTAGAGTAAATGCGCCCATCTACCATACCAGTCGATCAACTTCGATCGCGACGTTGACTGATTGGTTTGTTTCCACCAGAAATGTGCTAGGAATACGGTGCGAAGATGTGTAGCGAAGCTGAGGAACGGTGCACAGATGAGCGATGCGATGCGAAGATGTAGCGGGGTCTTTACGGAAGCGAGCCTTAAACATAGCACACAATCCCTCAGCTGTTTTTTATGTACAAAAGCCTCGCTCCACTAAACCGTATCCACCAGAGCTCTGATGACTGAAGCGAGGTCCCTTGCTACGCATCTTAGCACCTCTTTATTTATTTATATATTGATAAAGGTTCGTGCAAATGCAAACGGCCATACGATATTAGTGCTGTTATTGAAAAGAAACATTATTCACTATATATGTATTTCTTTATTTCATTACTAAGCAATATTTCTAAATACTAGTTTAATAAAAAAAATAAATTATGTAACAAACATAATATACATACGCGAATCAAAACCATAGCCGAGATGAGCACATGAAAACAATTTCAAAATATAACATCACCACTTCATGAGTTAGCAAATAAATTTATTAGTTATGTAAAATACGACTCCTTAAAATTAATAATTTGCAATCTTGCAATGCCGACTTTAATCTAATTATTTATAAGGCAATATTAAATTATTTGCCAGTACACATAGTTTGGGTTAAGTGTGTTTTCGAAAAATATTTTTTCTGCTCGGCTAGATTCCCCATGCCTAAAATCTATGATCACTATAGTGCGCCTACATTTTTGACTAAAAAACACATAAGGCACATATTAAAAGAATAAATAAAAATTAGAAACAGTAAAAAACAGATGGTAGTTAAAATAGTTGTTTTACAAATACCCTAAACACAAAACCCAGCCTGCTGTCCTGGCATATAATATAATCTTAGGACCAAACACACCAATGTTCTTAAATCACAATAAAGATAAAAGGTCACTGAAATTTGTCACATGTTTTAAGTCAACAAAGATAGAATGAGGATTTAATGATTTTTTATTTCATTCAAGAATGTTGGTGCATGTGGCCTATATTGTGCATAAAATTACATAACAACTTATAAAGTACTGATCTATATAATGGGTTTTGATTGAGTTCTTACGTTAATACTCTTACACTTAAAAATTAAATTTAAATTAACTACTAGACATTTTAACATAACCTCTTACAGGCCGTTCTCTGCTAGGCTAAAATAAAACTCTTTATATTTTAAGATTCAATACAATCATGTACAAAATATACATTAGTTAACAATCTTTCAACAGTCTTATAGCTTTACCTATACAGTATTGCACTTTAAACACATGGCTGAAGTAATGTGATTATACTGGTGGCATAGGATATTGAATGAGATTATTTGCAGCTGCTACATTCATATTTACACTTAGTTTAAATCCTGTACAGAAATTAACTGCCTTTAAATTGCACATTACAATCTGGTTTAAAAATGTAAAAAAATTTGAACTTTCATTACAAGCATAATAAATTTAGATTAGTAGCTAGCAACCCACTAATTGTATCAGTTGTTGCACTGTTGAGCGGTCTAACAAACATAAATCAAAATCAAAGGTTTGTGTCGTGACTTCATATCGTCCCGTTTCTGCTATTAAATTAACAACTCTTTCCAGTTCTTCATTATTGTTTATAGTCATTATGCGTTTTTGTAAGTCCCGCAACTGTCCCATGTATTCAGGTGACAGTTCCCCAGGCTCAGCATCCTCACCTAAGCTACTTGAAACTCCATTGTCTTGCACCTTAGTCTCTACAGATGTAGAACCACTACTCTCACCTTTCTCAGTATCATTATTAGAAGGAACGGTGGATTCAGAGGATTTTGCAACTTTTCTATTTTCTGCATTTTCTTCCTCTGCTGCTTTTCGTTTGCGCCTTTTTTCATCTCTCTTTGATTTGTCCTTATGTTTTTTAGATTTCTCTTTTTGTGGAGGTGGAACATCTAAAATAGGTTCTGATTCAGGCTCCGGCTCAATTTCTGGCTCAGGTTCAGGTGTAGGTTCACATTTGAGTGGCTGTGGTGAAAGATTTTCTAATTTGACCTTGTTTTCGTCATCTTCCACTATCATAGAACTCTCAGAATCAGAGTGGGAGCTATTTGCTTCTTCTGTTCCTATGTGTGAGATTTTAGCAAGACCGCTCTTTGAACTACACTGAGAAGCAGTGTCTATTGATATGGGAGATGCTGGTTCTGGTAAAGGACGCTCTTTATTTAGTGGAGTCTCCTTATTGTCAATAACCTCAACTTTTTCTAAAGTATCTTTATTTTTTTCATGTTTATGTTTTTTCTCCTTATTTGCATCCTTATGTTTCTCTTTGGATTCATCACGTTTTTTATCTTTTTTCTTGTGTTTATGCTTCTTTTCAGAATCAGATTTTTCTTTTTTCTGAATTTCTGGTCGATCAACATTTTCAGGAGGTGGTGACTTTCTTAAGTTTTCTATGGAAAACTTGTTGTTGGGTTTGTCTGGTTTCGTTACTTTTTCTTTTATTGGTGGTGACTCTTTAATTTGCTCCCTTTCTTTTGGTGTGTCTCTGGCTTTTATTTCTTTTATAATTTCTTTAGGGGTTTCAAATGACAATTTAGGGGAATCTTTAGATTTATGACTGTCCTTTTTATGCTCCTTTTTCTCTTTTTTTTCTTTATCCCTATCATGGCTCTTCTTTTCTTTCTTCTTCTTCTCTTTAACTTCTTTTTCTGCTTTCACTTCAAGCAATTTTTCCTCAAGTTTAATTTTCTTTTGCTCAGTAGATTCAGAGTTATGTTTTAATGGTTTGAAATCATCTTTAAAGCTAGATGCACTATTAGATCGAGGAGCAGGACTTGGCACTTTTCTAATGGGACTTGTACACCTTTTTTTTGGATTCTCTGGGGATGGTAGCCTCTCATTGGGCCTTTTAACAGATTTTTCTTTTAACTTTTCATTTTCTTTATAATGGGTTTTTACTTTTTCTGATTTAGCTTTCTCTTTATCATCTTTGATTTTAATTTTGTCTGATTTTGTTTCTTTGTGTTCATGCTTTGACTTTTTGTCTGAACTTGATCTTTCTTTATCTTTTTTGTCAGATTTGGGAACTGAGGCTGTCTTTTCAATCTTTTTAGGGTCAGGTGAAACCTTTGGTGGTTTTTGAATTGGTGGCCCAAATAAATTTTCGAAACTGCTTGTCTTATGTGGTATTTCTTCTTTATGCTCTTTTGATTTATGTTTTTTCTGATGTTGTTCTGATGATAACTTTGGTTTACTAGTCAGTTGTGATTTGTCCTCACTGAATGAATCTCTACTTCTACTTTCTTGATCTGGATTAGTATAGAATGCATTATTAATAATAGGAATACCCCCACCTTTTAACAACTTTTTTCTAAAATCTTCATTAGGATTTTGAAATATGTATCTATCCTTCAAAACTCCGCTTTGCTGTAATGTGAAATCATACGAAAACTTGATCTTTTTAGGTTCATCTTTGTTCTTCAAATAGATTTCAATAGGAAAAATAAATCCAGCATATCCAGATTCCTTGATGGAAAAAGGTGGCTCCTTCACAACTAAAAAGACAAACATGAATAATATTATTCCAATCAAAATTAAACAATACCTTATTATAAAATAAATAGTTTTGGTACCATCTGAATTGGCTTAGTCCTTTACGAATTTGTTTCTTAAGTTTTCACGCATATATTCAATGAAACATGCTTAAACAGGTTCAAAATGAGTCTTTTTAATACTTAAGTCCTTTATGCTTAGTCACTTTTACTGTAACACTTAATTAAGGTGTATAATGCGGTGTAAACATTGTACACCTTAATTAAGTGTTACTTGGAAATAAATAATAAGGTAACTTGATATGAATAATTAAAGTAACAAACACCAGATTTTTTAAACATTATTATTAAAAAGTACTGGCCGACCATCAGTAGTTCTTAATTGAGTATCAAACTTCCACATTCATAATATACTGCAACCGCTCGCAACTTTGTTCGCCTTAACTGTCGTTTTTGAAAATCCCTCAGGAAGCTGACAAAATTCCAGGCTAGAAAGTAGGTATCCTATGTCTCAATCCAGGTCATAAACTATATGTGTACCAAATTTCATCCAAGTTCGTTCAGTATTTTTTGTGTGATTGAGTAACAAACATACAAACTTTTATATTTACAATATAAGTAGGACTAGAGGGTGCTCGCAACTTTGTCCGCATTCACTTTAGAAATACATTATAGTGTATATACAGGGTGTAATTGAATGTTTTAATGAAACTTCGTGGGAATGTTGGGTAACGTATATAGAGTATCTCTGAATTTTTTCGGATTTTTAAAAAATGATTAAGAAAATATTTTTTTTTTGTTATATTTTAAGTTCTTTCCTCCTTTTGGGTACTAAATAATTATTCTTTTAAAACACGCATACAGAGTAAGTAAAAAACAACTAATAAGCACTACTAAAAAAAACGTAAAAACAGGAGACGGGCGGCCCCGGCCAGGAGCAAAGACCGCTCCCGCCATTGAATACCTTCCTGCCTACCTATGCGCGGTGCACAGCGCAGTGAGCGAGCGGAGTCTCAAGCGCGCGTGTGTATATTTTAAATTTGTGACAAGACAAGATTTGCAAATAATGCCTTGATTAGTTCTTGTTCTGTGGCCTCAATATAAGACTTTGGATATGGTGTGTTGTTATTGCGAGTGTCACGGAATACTCAGCAGAGCCACAAGGCTTTACGAAAGTAGGTTTGGTGATTGATTGGGAAGTTATAGTGAAAAAAATGAATAGGTACATCGGTCTTGTAAGTACTTTTGAATACCTGGTTATAAATTTCATTCTGACCCAAGTATTGAACTGCAATAAGTATTTCTTTTTGTTTAACATTTGCCTATTTCCAATCGTGACTTCTCGTGAGTTTTTCTCTGCTTAAGAGAAGATGACATTTGTGCTTATTATTTCAATAAAGGCATCTAAGACGATTGTATTGTATTGTGTGGAATCAAAGGAGTCAGCTGAGCTCTGTGTACCTACTCACTCAACGGCTGGCGGGCGCGGTCGGTCGTTGACCCGCGGTGGCCGTGCCCGCTTAATTTTACTGTTTTTATGTTTTTTAGAAATGCTTATTTATTAGTTGTTTTTCACTGGATATGTAAGTATGCTTGTTTAAAATGAATAACATAAAATATAAATGACATAAAAATACACAAATTTTAAATAAATACATGAAAAAAAATACTTCAAAAAAATCCGAAAACAATCAGGCATACTCTATACATGTAACCCAACTATCTCACTAAGTTTCAATAAAACATTCAATTTCACCGTATATAATCCAGGCCCATGCATTAATACGCATACCAAATTTCATACAAGTATGTTCAGTAGTTTTTGCGTGATTTGTAACTAACATGAAACTTTCACATATATAATATTAGTACAATAGGGGTAGGTCTTGCGGCCGCACGCAATTCGCATTAACTTTAGTTTTCTGAAAATCCCTCAGGACCCTCACTTTTACGGGTTAAAAGTTTATTATGTCTCAATCTAGGCAGTAATCTATATTTAAGTAAATTTCATTAAAATACGTTCAGCCGTGTTTGCGTGATTGATTAACAAACGTACAAACACAAACTTTATAATATAATATTAGTAGGAAACGATTAAAGTACACATACCTCTTCTAGGTTTCGGAAAAGTTTCGTGTAAGTGGAATACCACTTTATCCACGAAGTGACTTATATCAGCTCCTTCTTGTCCGCGTACAAAAACTTCCCAGTCATGAGTAAAGCCTTCAGGGGTCTTTTTTGAACGTAACGATGCTTCGTGTCCAATTTCAAAATTAACTTTTATAGCTGCTGACATTATCGATGTGAATTTCTTCAAATTTCTGGTATTTACATTTCAAGTAGGTACTGATGAACCTCATAGAAAATCGTTTTCAATTCTTGTATATAACGGCAACTGTGATTTGCAACCGATAAAATTATTAACAAGTCTAAGTAGAGTGGAGAGTCATAAATGTTAACACTTTGAAATAATCTAAGATTTCACAGTTTTCCAAAATAATCTTTTAGCGCCCTTGTTATTATGGTCCGCCATATTATTTATTACAAATTCCATAGACTAATAGAAAATAGGGATGCCCGATATAAATCACTATACTAGGTAACGATCAGGGCAATGCAAAACAATCTAATATTTGACTCGATTCGATTGATTGGTGTCGATTCTGGCGTGATTCCCTAAACTTAAAACTAAATTTAACATCATTCTATCCTTTTCATTCTGTATAGAGAATGACAGAGATACACTGCTGCCAAATTTAAGTTTAAGTTTAGAGAATCATGCCAGAATTGACACCAATGTCTAACAAAAAAAAGCCTACACGCCGAAAAAAGGATAAAAGTATTAGGCACCCCCTATACTCGTATGAACTTAACCATAAATCTATCTTGCTTTTATAAATTATGAGGGGGCATCAGCTTGTATAAACTATTCTCAGCTACGCGCTGCTACGTAAAGGCGCCATTCACTGCAGTCCTCTGCTATATGAAGGATTGTGTACGTCCTGAAACACCAAGCAAGGTGGATAACAATGCAGGATCGTAAATAGTCCCCTTTAAGAGGTTCCCCTTGAGTGCGTTCCAAACCAGGGTAGGTTTGTTAACTTTTTACCCTGACGTTTCAATTTTGACATAAAATGTATGAAGCTAATGTCAACTTTGACATTTGTTACACTTGTAAAGTGCGTGGGTTTTGAACGTAGCCCTGTAGTCTGTGGAAATAATCTCTGTAATCTGTCTGATTTTTGTGGTCACTTCACTTGGCTACAGTGTTGCCAACTCTACGTCTTTTTACGTAGATCTACATATTTTAGGCCTTTTCTGCAAACCTACTAACTTCAGTCCCAGAATCTATGTATATATTTAAATTTTTTCAAATTTGTAAAATAACTTAATACACTAGATGTTTTCCGTAACGTTACTTAAAAACTATACAAATGTTTGTTTCTTATAAAGATGTATCTAAAAACTCTTGTATCTTGTAGAAAAGGTTCCCGTTATTGGTTTTGTTGACTAAATTAATGCTGGACGCAGGATTTGTGAAAGCAGAAACGTCAAAACTCTTTGACTTAGTAAGTACATTCATAATCTTAAAAATTGTATTTTTAAACTCTAAATATTATTTAATGAGTACTTACATCGAATTGATCTCTGCAAAAAGAAATGACTTTCAGTCGATAAAATTACAGGATTTAGCAAGTTTTAAACATGCGTACATCTGTAAGTATGTTTATTTCTGTTGGCAATTTAAACTACAACTTTTGTAGAGTCTTTTACCAAGTGTATCATGATAACTACTATATTTTTCATGTGATCTATTAGAAATCATGATTTTATAATATTTACTCAGAAAGTTTATTTTCTACGTGCTTGCGAGTGTTTGTTTACAAATGTTTTGACGTCATAGTATAGATAAGTCAATAGATTAAATAGCGTTTTTGTATGTCTTCTAGGTAAAAAAAAAAAATTATTCGGTCTGATAGAACAATTATTAACAATTTAAAACATAATTCCAAAAAATTTCAACTGGCCTATTTAACAACAGTGTATTTTTGTCATTCTCTATACAGAATGAAAAGGAGAGACTGATTTTAAATTTAGTTTTAAATTTGGAGAATCATGCCAGAATCGACACCCACCAGTGTCTGTGTCTGATGGTAAGTGTCTACCACAGCATGGTAAGTGCTTCCAATGCAGCGACTTCTCCAAGAACTCATTGTTCTATCTTCCGTTTTTAAAGAAATTGTATAACAAAATACTCGTTTTATTCGGTTTCACCTAACTTCTTCATTTCACTCAGAAAAAAAGTACGTAGATCTACGTACTTTTCATATGCAAAATTTACCAATTCTACGTAATTTTCTCATCGGGCCTACGCCTTTTTCAAAATCCGAGTTGGCAACACTGCTTGGCTATTCGTGTTTGTTAGTTGAGAACTTGACAACTAGGTCTGTCCTTTTCATCCCAATAAATTTAAGACAAGGGCGGACTAATGTCAAGTTTACAAATAGCAAACACGATTAGTAGCCATTTGAACAGGGAGCAAGTCACTTTACTTGCTCAGTGCATTTAAATTGCCATCATTATACCTTCCCTCACTCCCACATTTATAAAATTATATTACTACTGGAATAAAATATTAGGTGGTTGATTATTCTGTGATTTACATACCTGCTGTAAAATAAATTATGTCAGGATTATTGGCTTCATTTCTCCAACCACTTAAGTATGTATAACCTCTAAATATAGTAATAGTAAGTAACGAAATCAATAAACTCAGTAGAGGTATCTAAAACGTCATGGTAAATTTCATAAACAGGTCATAAATCTGCATAAGCTCCAGAGAAATTTAAGAATCTTGGGTTTGCTGATATTGAATTCAGTTATGGTTTAGGAGAATAGCCAGATAATATTGTCTGTACTACCGCAAAATATGAATGTACTTTTTATATTAGAACATATTTTTTATTTAAAGAACTTTAATAGAATATTTAAAAATTTGCAACCACTGGCCAAGCCAATATATTTATCAAGTTACTATTCCTGCATTTAATTACAGTATTTTGCGAATTTTTTAGGCACCTAACACCAAAACTGCAAGTTGCAGCAGAAGTATCTGGGATCAATTTTTTATTACCAGAGACGTTTAACTTGAGCAGTATTCGTACTAAAGTGCGTTGTTATTTCCCCCGACCTAATGAAGTAAGGAGAGTTCGAAGACATGGTTGGGAAACAAGAATGTCTACTCATAATGGCCGTAAAATTATAATGAGGAGAATTCTCAAAGGAAGATATGTTTTATCCCATTAAAATAATTAGAGAAAATAGACAATTCTGTAAAATAAAATAGTGTTTTAAAAAAAACAAACTTTTATTTAATTGTTTGCCTTTATCTGCACAATGTGGTATTTTTATAACAAAGCTTCATTTTACTTAAAAACTACTTCATTCATTATATTAAAAAAAACAATGTAAACGGATAAACTACTTCTACATAATATAAACTGTAGTCTTACATAAATACAATTTATTTAAGAAATGTAGGTACAGAGATAAAATATAATCTTGATTTGAGCATAAAATGAAATTTGATGATGCTAAGAACTGATAATTGTATATGACGTTAGGTACCTAAAGTAGAATCATTCACATTTATTTACTATATTTTTAAATTTTGTAATTGGATGTACTTTTCATATGTAATAAAATACTTTGTACCTAACTTTTGACTGGATGTATAAGTTGAAGGATATCAAGTAATGAAAGTAATAAGAGAAAACCAACACAACAGTTGGATAATCTGTCAAAACCATTAAGTTTTTTTTAGTTAAATAAATACTTTTGATGCAAGTGTACTGAATCTTCGGAGTTTGTAGGTGATTTTGCTGGTTTCAAGAGATTAGAAACTTCAGAAACTACAAGAGTTGTTAATTTAATAATAGCTAGGTGGGCTGCAAGTTGCAAAACAAGTGCTCCAAAACCTTTGTATAAGCCAGCAACACCTTCTTTCGCTATTGTTGTGTGATAACAATCCACAAATCCTTCATACCCTGTTAAGATAGGTGTTACTGAAGTTCCTGTATCTAAATTATCAATGATAGTCCGTGTCCCCTGAAGCAAACAGTTATAGAAAGATGTTAAACAAAGATTATTCATTGGAATCTGAAATAGGCAACTAAGGCTTTAGCAAATATATTTGTTTCACGAGACAAAATCAATTACCTGTATATGTAGACGATGAATTATTGTCTCAAGTGGATAAAATAATATTTCCATTGTTATGAATGAAAATATATTGGCTTTTAAATTAATGTTGTCAATCAGTGGATTTTGAGAGTTTCTTTGGTAATTCATATTATAAGAATCACTTAACTCGTGTTTGTTTCGTTGTTGAAACCTCAAGATTTTGACTGTTACACTTCTCAATATGACACTGAAATAAAAATGGAATGACAATAACATAATTGACTCCTACAGTGGCCCTCAAGGTCAATTGTTTCTGTGACAGCATTAGGTTTAATTAAAATTACAATTAGATTGACTATTTTAAATTTTGGCAGTTAGTATTAGTTATTTTAATCATCATAGGAAAACTTTTAGCTTCTCAATCATACTTACTGTGCTAGATACTTGGACACTCCTAATCCTACCGTTGGAATAACAATAGCCCATATTGGCAACATTCTGCCTCTACTTGGTGTTCCCCATTCTAATATGCGCAGAAAACCTTCGCGGAAAACATCTAATAATGCTGGTTTATCACTGGCAATATCACTTTGTACTGTTTCTACCAAACTTGCAGAGTAAAATGGTGTGATTATTGCTGTGCTTACACTGAAAAATACATAAATAATAATTTGAGGTCTATCAGTATTGCAACACAATCATAAACTTGAGTCTACATAAAAGTTAGTAGTATACCAATAGTTTTTTTAGTATTCAATTTAATTAAATTTATTCATTTAAAGAATTTTTAGAATTTAAAGAAGTCGAACTTTTAAATCTGCAGATTTAATTTTAGCCCGACAGCATAATTGTTTTTGAAGGTATATCACTGTAAAACCTATTTTCTATTTGCACAGAACTCTAAAGCTGGTGTTGTCTATTTATGTCGGTCAAGTCAAACTTTAATAACAAGTATTACATTAATTAGTTCCTTACCATTTCAATGTAATATGTTGAAGAAATTGTAATACTGAACCACATTTTTCTATTTCCCTGTAACAATAAAACAATCAAAATAGACCTTGGAATTACTTTTTGGCATTCACTTTTGGGGAAAATAATATTTATTAATCTTACTTGGCATAAAAGTTAAATTGTATGCACTTGTCGCTTTATTTTTGTCATAAACAAAAATCTACATACCTTACCCTTCAAAAGTTATGCATAAAAACTAACATGAATTTAAGTGTAAATAAAATAAAATTTAATCCTGCTTTTTTTTGCCTTACAGGCAAAATGTATAACCTTGTTATTGAGTATGTGAAAGTTTGTCATTGGTAATATATAGAAATATATCAATAGAAGGTAACATGAAACATCCTTGAAAATTAGCAATATTGTTTGGCATTAGGATAACAGAAATATATTTTGTGCTTTTCACACTCTGTGATAAAGTTAGGTACTAAAAATGCATTAGAATGTTTTTATTTACATGTATCAAAGTTAAATTGTTGGTGTTACCCACTTACTTCGGCCAACCTGTGCCTTTAGCTACTACATCCTCAACAGCTAAATTTAAACCTTTTACAATGCAGGTAGAGCCAATTCCTTTCCAAAGAGTTGTAATGTCTTGCCTTCTGTGTAGTCTTGCTACAACTGGGAGCAGAGTATAGGGTACTATGTGGTGATTTTTGAGACTATTATGGACCTGTAGATATTAAAATGTTACTTGGTTATATGCAACATTATTATATTATAAAAAAACATTTGTACCATACTGTAGTGTATCACAAGTACAACACTGATGTTATCATATTGCATTTATTAAACATTTACCTGACACTGCCGTCTGAGGACAATGAATGGATGGCTTAGTAAGTTCTCAGTGATCAAACTTGCTACGCTTATAGCAGTAGTAACATATGTATTATTTTCTGTGTAACAAAAAGACAATGTTATGAATTACGATAATTTTGAATAATTATAAATAAAATTAGCACATCAAAAACAAGAGTAAATAAAATAACCAAAGAAAACCTATCAAATTCATTTAAAATAATCTTTTTGGTGTTGTACACATAAGATAGCTACAGCAAAATAATATTTTTTATGAATCTTTTTCTTCACCATCCTCCGGTGTATCATCCATGACAAGAGGCGGTCCCTGGTATTCTTCAGTAAGTGGTGTGTGATAACCATAAATTTGTTGATATCGGGTATCATACAAATCATTAGTTTCTCTGTTTGGATCCAGGCCAAATGGTCGGTTGTAAGAATTGTAGTCTCCAAATCCAGCCATTGTATGACTATTTTTTCAATGACTTATATTAAAAACAGGTAAAACTTTGCCTTTCACAAATTAATAATTAAGTAAGTACATTTGATGAAAAGTAAAAATTGTGTAAAAATTAAAGAAAGAAACTGGGCTCAATTCAGGCATGGTTCTGGGCAATAGAATACCTACACTCCAGGTGCAACCAATATCAATTTTGACTTAAGTTCCATACATTTTATGTCAAAATTGAAACGAAAAGGTGAAAATTTGCACTTGGAGCGTAGGTTTAGAACGCAGTCCTGCTCTGCCAACCAAAATTTAATTTGACAATAGTGGTAGCTTTCCAATTAAAGCGCATTATTATTTTTTTTTTTTATTCCTTTATAGCCTGCACGGTTTGTGCGTCAGCCACATACAAATGTAAAGGTAGGGAAACAGGATAAAAAAAAAAGGAACGGAATTTTTAGGAAAGGATCAGGTAAGTATTTACTTATTTACAGTTTAATATTATGTTTAAGGATAAAATTTGAAATACATAAATTAATATCATATTTCATAGAATATAGCAAAGTATTTATAAATTATAGCGCATTATGCGGCATAATGCTTAACGTTGAGTTGAGTGTAGGGATGGGCGTTTTTAGAATAACGATGCGCAATAACGATGCCAGGTTCAGATGCGCGCATCCGATGCGACTGGATGCCGTTATTGGATGCCCATGCCATCTAGTTTTGACGTGACAACGTCTTAAATTAGGTTGCGGCTGGGAGTCACTTATGAAAAAGTGTAACGCTCGGTAACGTTACGATGAGTCTCTCGTGTTAAGTTTAAGTTTACATGTACAATGTTTTAGTAAACAAAATATATTTCTATAGTTAAAATTTGTGCAATTCTTATTTTCATTCAATTCCTTGTTCCTATTGTGCAATTTAATTATATTCATATCAATAAATATTCTACCGAGAAAAAGACGTTGTCACGTAAAATCTTCGCCCGTAAAACCGACTTTACAGGCAACCATTTTTTTTTGTCAACGTTACCATAGCAACAGTACGCGGATATGTCGCTAGCGGTGAACGAATATGTCATAAATGTTAAAATGCTATGGATAAATTGTAGTTTTAATTTTTGCTACCGGCACAGAAAAAAATGTGGCACTGTTGCTATAGTAACGATGACAAAAACTAGACGGCATCGGCATCCATTAACGGCATCCAGTCGTATCGGATGCGCGCATCCAAACCTGGCATCCTGCCTGCGTTCAAAACTTACGCTCTGAGTGAAAATTTTTATGTAATAATTTTGCCAGCATTCAATCTTTTCAGATAACATACCGAAAAGTAAATAAATGGTTTTTGGTTACATTTTCAAGTCCTGATTCAAAGAATTGAAGAGACACACAAAACACGCATCTGTAGAAATTCATATTGCATCGTATCCCCGCATCGATGCCGGCATCGCATTGAGACCGGCATCGCATCGATGCGGGCATCCGATGCCTATTATCTGATACCGATGCGCATCGATTTCAAAAATATCTAAAAACGCCCATCTCTAGTTGAGTGTTCCAACTACAGCAACGCTTCGCACAACACAATTGAACACTCTCATAAGTAATGCTTTCGTGTGATGCGTGCAATCGTACCAACCCAGTGACAGAAAATTAACAAGTGTTTTTTCTTTAAGTTGGCATTGATCGAAATGTTTTATTTATATGTTATCGTAAGTAATATTATTTATTGTTGAAAAATTATTAAAGCTATCGTTTCATTAAATAGTTTTTTTAAACAATCAAAGTTAATTCAAAATTAAAAAAAATATATATAAGTATGGATGAAGGTACAAACATTGACTTTTTTTTCAACACTGAACTTAGCGCACTCTGCTGGTGCATTTGAAAACTAATTCACGTTCCAATTAAGCATCAGCATAATTCGGCATTGTGCGGCACTGAGTCGCATTATGCTCTGTTATTGGAAAGCAACCAGTGTATCTTCGTCATACTCTTGAAAAGGAGACACTATTGGCAGTTTTACATTTATGGAATTGCCCATCCGTGTCGATTCTGACACGATTCCCTAAACCAAAACTTAATTTTGACAAGAGTGCATCCTTGTCATTCTCTATAAAAGTGAAAAGGAGAGACCGGTTTAAAATTAAGATTTGAGAGTCATGCCAGAATCGACACCACTGTCATACAAACTTTATTGACATCTGTGTTAGGGGATCCCAGAACTCTACAAAGCAGTACTATGGTAGTTTTCCAATTACATTACAGAGCATAATGCGACTCAGTGGCAGTGACGACTCACATATTGGTTGCTTTCCAATTACAGAGCATAATGCGACTCAGTGCCGCACAATGCCGAATTATTCTGATGCTTAATTGGAACGTGAATTAGTTTTCAAATGCACCAGCAGAGTGCGCTAAGTTCAGTGTTGAAAAAAAAGTAAAAAACCTTCATCCATATTTATATTTAATTTTTAACACAGTTTGAATTAACTTTGATTATTTAAAAAAAAGTATGATGAAACGAAAGTTTTAATAATTTTTCAACAATAAATAATATTACTAACGATAACTTAAAAATAAAACATTTCGATCAATGCCAACTTAAAGAAAAAACACTTGTTAATTTTCTGTCTCTGAGTTGGTACGATTGCACGCATCACACGAAAGCATTACTTTTGAGAGTGCTCAATTGTGCGAAGCGTTGCTGTAGTGGGAACACTCAACGCTAGGCATTATTCCGCATAATGCGCTATAATGCTGTAATTGGAAAGCTACCATTAGCGTATTTTTAATCCATCTTCATCATAGAGGCATAAGAATAGAGTGGGGAAGGAGGGTCTTAAAGTGTCCGTCTAGTAGGAAAAGAAAGAAGATGAGAGACGGCTAGCCTTTCTCTCTCTAATCGCGAATGCGCATTGGATGAAAAACCTACGGATGAATACCGACCAATCACAGGACTGCGCAGCGTCACAAGAGAGAGAGATAGCTAGCCGTCTCTCATCTTCTTTCTCTCTCTACTAGCCGGACACTTCCACTTGTAGTAGAGTACTTATCTTCCCTACTCTATTCTTATATCTCTATGATCTTCACTCATGGTTCTGGCCAGTAACACAAACTTGTATTTTTTTTATTATGAGAAATACTGTATGCACGCTGTTTCCTATGCTTCCTATTTATGAACATAGCCGAAAAAAAATCAATCAATTTTTTGTGTTGGTTGAGCGAAAAAAACGTGCATACCTACGCAGTTAAACATGGCGGCTTAGTGTTGTATACTACCACGATGGTATTTAACACTTATCGATTGCGCCATATCTGTCGATAAAACTTAATATTGATAAGTATTAAAAATCGAACGAATTAAGACTTAAAAATCGAACAATGAAAACTTAATATATTATATTTATACGTTATATTTTAGCATCTAATTATCTTTAATTCTCTAATTTGATTAACTTACACTTTTCCGACTTTATTGAGACTACGTTCAGTTCAACATTTATTAAAATCACGCTGAATTTTTTCATGATTTTCATGATTAGATACTGATAGTATAAAATATAGTAAGATCCTCCGCATATAGCGAAAAGTAAATTATGCCAAGAACATTAATGAAAAGAATAAAAAGAAAAGAATTCGCTTTTAAGTATCGTATTATTTTAATATATTAGCTTTTTATGTGCAATTCGTTACCTCCTTTTTAGTAAAGGAAAACATTGTAAGAAAATCAGCAAGTATAGAGATTTAATACTAGCAATATTTAAAAATCAATTCGGTTAACGCGGGGATTATATTCAATGCCACTAGTAAGGTGGTAGGGTTCGCCAGTACCCATGCTGTACGCGTTGTGAGGAATCAAAGAAATGATAGGCAGGAATCCAGTATAAATAGTTTTACAGAAACGCATTATACAGACTATTTAACACGATGACGTATATCAGAATAGAAAAAAGAGATAAAATAGGTAGGTATTAAAATAAGTAGGTGTTATAAGTATAAAAATCTGTATTTATTTATTTACATTCATCAGTTTAACATTATTCATTTCTAAAAAGAACAATTTTGTTTAAGTAATTTCTAAAAGAAATTTTTGACGTGACAACGTCTTAAATTAGGTTGCGGCTGGGAGTCACTTATGAAAAAGTGTAACGCTCGGTAACGTTACGATGAGTTTAAGTTTACATGTACAATGTTTTAGTAAACAAAATATATTTCTATAGTTAAAATTTGTGCAATTCTTATTTTCATTCAATTCCTTGTTCCTATTGTGCAATTTAATTATATTCATATCAATAAATATTCTACCGAGAAAAAGACGTTGTCACGTAAAATCTTCGCCCGTAAAACCGACTTTACAGGCAACCATTTTTTTCCGTACTTTTCCTTCAAAAATATCTAAACCTTATATCAATATATGTTTTAATTACACTCTTTATTTACAAATATTTATGATTGGCATCATGATCGCTCGAATCGGTCTCAAAACCTTGATTATTTTCACCATAATTTTCGATGAGAAAAGAAAAAATATACAAATAATATTTCTCAAAATTTGTTTTCTTAAAATTTTTTTTTCTGTCTTTTTACAAACATCCTCAACGTCTTTAGATGGATTCACGAGGCCACCTCGATCCTTATATGCTATCAATGACTGTTTTCACATCGCCAAATAACATTGACACACAAGTTACACATTTTATAGTGTGGGATAATTTTCTGGCTACAAAGCCTGCGATGTACGTCACAACACTTTCTGCATATTTTGTGACATTATTATTAAGGCAGTCTAGGTATTCGAAAGTACTGCATCATCTTTTAATCTTATAACATCCAATGTCTTGTTAAATGAGTTTGGATGAAAATGTAAAAAACATATGTAAATATGTTTTAGATCTGTTCTTAAATTTTCATTACCTCTAGCCAAATTCTTTTTTTTGTTTTTACTTACTGGCAGTCTGAAAACAAAAATAAATCAAAAAATTAACAAATTAGATCTTTTTCTTTATTGTAATAAATGTCAATTTGATATCGGAAGCATGATTTTTTTTATACGCAACCCCCCTATGTGCACACTCTACTCGAGAGAAACAAGAATCACTTAATTATTGCTTCTCTTGAGGAGTGTGAATTGAATGTAAATTAATCAAAAGGAAAAAGTGTTTCGTGTAAGAAAATATCGATAAATCGTTCGATATAACAAAACATCACTAGAGTCAAAACAAAATACAATATAAACGAAACCGAAATCTATATATTTTTTAGGAAAAATACTTACTCAATTACTCTATAAACTA